TCAGCAAGGATAGAGTGGTTCTCGAAAAGGAAAAGGAAAGGGATCTAGACCACATTGCACATATTGTGAGACACTTGTTGGGCTTTGCATGGGAGGCCACCACGTCAATCTTCTAATCGATCCACCACTTATGTGGCTCAAGCAATTATAGATGGACTCATTCCCTTACTTCATGTTAAAGACCAATAACCCAACTCCATTACATTGTCTAGAGCTGATTACAATGAGTATCTTCAATATCAAGCTGTCAAGCAAGTCATCCTCATCTAACGCCTCCCAAACTGGTAATTCCTTTGCCTACCTGAGCTGGACCTCCTCTACTGGCCCATGGATTTTGGATTCTAGAGCATCTGACCACATTTCTGGTAATAAAAATCTTTTATCTCAAATTACCTCTTCTCCCACTTTATCAAAAATTACTCTTGCTAATGGTTCACAGACTATAGTCAAAGGGATAAGAGAAGCTCAATGATAAGAGTGTAATTTATATATTTTTTTTATTCCTTCCATATTATGTTTTTGTTATGTTTTATGCCTAGTTGAGTTGATTAGAGTTTATTTTGTAAGTCTGGCATATTTGGATAGACTTTATGAAATAATTGAGAAAAGATTAGGAAATTCCAAAATTTTTTTGTTATTCTGACCAGTGATGCGTTTTTCAGGTTTTTCATGGAGTCAGATTTCTCGATTGCAAAAGTGTTCTTTAGAAAAAGTAAAGTAGATGAATCAATCCTTCCAGGAAGGTATTATGGGTGAGAATCCGAGTTCGTTTGGGCCCTCATTAGTTGTTACAAAATCAGACCTGGAATCCTATTCTCGGAAGGATTTCCTGGCTGAGTATTGAGTCTTCAAATTGGTCTAACTAGAGCTTCAGATATCGAAAGTAGGTGATTTAAAAGCCCAAATTCATCTACACATCCAAGACTAAACTTTTATGGAGTGACCAAGCCCAGAAAAATTCTTTTACATTGTGAGAATCCTGGTGCAAGCTAGATTACAAATTCTATTTTCCCTATCTGATAAGGAATTAACAGTTTTGAAAGTCTATCATTTAGGAAAGGTCTAGGAAAGTAATTTCTATTTTTCCTAGGGTAAAATGGAGAGGAAACATGTTATTTATTTATGAGTTGTTAGGTTAAACGGGGGGAGAGAGAACGGTAGTGGATTTTTTTTTTTTTTTATTTTCTACGTCAATATGGGCGGCTGATCTTTCTTCTTCAGTTCAAGGGGATTTTGAAGCCTGAATTCATGTCATTGGTGTAACTTAACTTCAGTAACATTGTTCTTAATACCGTTCTTATTGGAATTGTTTATGTTATTATGTTTTAATTGTTTATGATTTTTGTTTGGGTGATTTAGTAATGGCCTGCTAAATTGTTTAATCGGAATTTTATCTGTTAGAATTAGGAATTGTGATACGTAATTGTCCTATTTCTATTCAATGAGTAACACATGATGATAGATGATTACGGACAAGTTCTCAATCTGTCACCTTGAATAACATAACCTACATTTAATAATCCGATCTTGCGTGATTGTTGCTTGGATTGATCTATTTTTCTAATGCTTAAGGCTGCCATTGAATTAAACTTAGAGAGCTTATTCTAGGTTGTTCAAGGGTTAGGATCTAATTGAAGAGCTTATTTCAGTAGTGACTATTAAGGGAAAATTCAGGTAGCAGAGCTTGTTGTTTCCTAGGGTCAATAATTCCATAATAACGGGATAGAATAATGTTACGGTTAGTTCATGTCCAATGTATGTTTAGGTGGATCTTGAACCGAGAATTGGTTATTTTTAATCTAATATTTTCTACCATTGGAGATTTATTTGTTTCACTTTAGATTGCATTGACTACAACCCCTTTCATTATTCTGTTGTCATGTTTACTGTTTAGGATTTTATTTTATTTTATTTTTCTGTTGTTTTCATTGTGGTTATTGGTCAGAATATAGGATTTAATCAAATCATTCCCTGTGGGATCAACCCTTGCTCACCCTATATGCAATTTATTAGTTAGGTTAGTAAGGTTATTAATTTGGAGCATTCAACACGTTACTAAATTTTGGCGCCGTTGTCGGGGAATGTTCTTTGTCGATTTTTTGTGTTTGATGTTTCTATATTCTTTTGTTATTTCATTTATCAGTGTTTAGTTGTGTTTTTTTCTTTGTTCTATGTGATTTTAGGTTTTGAAAAAAAAAAAAAAAAAAGAAAAATATTACTATTCCTAGGAGAAATTTTGGTTGATAGGAGTGATGGAGTGTACTTGTTTCGAAGGAAATGAAATTCTGAGCAGGTGTAAACCCCACGTTATTATTCCGATGCCCTAAGGTATGAAATTTACCTTTTCAAGTAATTTTTTTTGAATGGGAGGGTAAAATGGTCAATTTACATGTATTTCGAGATGTGGCCATTATAAGTGTAAAGGATGTGTCATGAAGGGAAATGAGGGTAGAATGGTTATAAAGTTGATTGATAAGGTTAAATGGCATAAACGGTAACCAAGGGTATAATGGTCTTTTCATACAAAATCATATGATTAAGTGTCCATAAAAGTGCACCAAGGGTAAATTAGTCATTTACCTAATAGAATTGCTTAATGGTTAGTGTTTTAAAGAAGTCAAATGGCATTAATGAATACTTATCTTTATGTTGTGGTGAAATGACCAAAACACCCTTATATGAAAAATTTATGCCAAATGACCTATATCTAACTTTTATTGACAATCACATTAGAGTTCAATGGAATGAATATTTACAAGGTTTAAAGAGAGAGTAGTCGGCCTTGGAGACCCCAAATATATCATCTTCTTCTTCATCTCAAATCCACCATAAAAGCACAATCCAAGCTTTATTCTCAAATTTTCTTAGGATTTCAAGTTGAGTTTTAAAGGAGTCACCATCCACCCTTAAAGAATCTCATTTCAGGGTTAAAGGTGTTCAAAACCCTAGTTTTTCTGAATTTTTTAGTTAAAGAGAAATTCTTAAGTGGTTGTGTGTGTAAGGTAGAAAGGTGAAACTTGGAGCCAAGGAGGAGTACCTTGTGCTTTGAATACTAAGGTAAGGAAAAAATCTCCCTTTAGACTCAATTGATAACACCTAGGGTTTATGAAACTTACATTTATTTATGTTAATATGAGTGTGTACTATGTTTTGGTTATGGATTGTTTAAATGGGTGGGTTGATTGGGGTATGTGTGCATGTGGAGGTGATTATGCAATTAAGAGATTTGTAGTTGGACGATGTTTTGGCATTTTTGGTTCTGTAAAAGGGAGGTTTTTATGCCTTTATACTAAGAATGATATGGCAAATGATATGAATGTGCAAATGAAGGTGACATGGTTAAATGAATAGAATTCGGATTTGGCTTTTTGAGACTTATACTGTACATGCTTCACTGAATCAGTCATAACTGAAGTTATAGAAGTCCGATTGAGTTGATTCTTGAAGTGTTAAAAATTTGAGAAACAGACCTAAAACTTTTATGTTAGCCAAAAATAAATTCGAATTAGAAGATAATGGAAAATGCTTGAAATTACGAACTGTATGGCATCCACCTTCTTAATGGAAATTCATTTGTTTCTAATTCTAATAAACCCCTGAATAATCTTACTACTGAAATTCCTGTATTGTATGAGAAATTGAATGAATTAAGTTAAGAGTTTAGTAGGAGAATATAGTAGATTGAGCATGGAATATGTTAGTCCATATGTTTGCATTCATAATGGTAATGCATATAGCTATTAGTTGCCTTATGAAAAATTTGAAATGTTAAAGAATGAATTCCATGAGTCTCTTGAGGTATAAACCAAGATCGGAGGAATGGAATTCTTATGGAAACCATGAGTCCTTTGAGGTGAGACCAAGAACAAGGTAATGGTTTAAATGAATCCGATCGGATAACAAAGACTAATGAAACCATCAAGTATAAAGACAAAAGAAATAAGCATGCCATGTACATGAATATTCAAAGTCATATATGTTCTTAGTTATGTTATGTATGATTATGTTATGACTTATGTTCAGAGAAAAGTCCAAAATTAGATAGTTTATGAACTTGTTATGTCAAAGAATGAAGGTCATGTTTTGTAGGTAGGTAAAGTCCTAAGTAATTTATTGTAAATGAACCTTAATAGTTTATAAATGGCCAATTCCTTACTGAGCGATTAGCGCTACCCCATGAAATGTTTTAAAATGTTTTGCAGGTAAGGATTAAGGCATGAAGCTGGGAGAGGATTCCGAGGGACGCTATGAGCATGAAGGGATGTTTTAATTATGACTTTTGAATGGTTTTGCTAGTATTTAGTGTAGTAATTATGTTTATATCTCATAATGCAGTAAATATGTCCATGTTATTATGGAGTATATATGTTTGTGTTAATAAAAGAAATCAAATTGATAGTAAATTTTATAAAAGTGTGTATGTTCTAGTAAGTATTACTATGGATTTCATAATTTACTCCAAGAAAGGAAATTATTATTTTTTTTATTATACAATGAACTCATTATAGTTAAGAAAAAAAAAATTAAACACATATATCTATATATATGTTTTAAACTACAAGTTTATTCTTTAAATAAGATTTTAAAATAAACTTCTTTCCTAGGCGTGCGTTTTCTAGGTTCTCAATGGCCAAGGGATACTTAGGAAATACCCGGCTAGGGAGGGGTTTTACAGCAGGACTAGAAACAAGGTTTCTAGCCCTACCCTCTCGTTGTCAAATTCGATTATTTAATAGTGTCTTGGCCAATTTTAGTTTCTGTAAAAAAAAAAAAGAAAAAAAATTTATTAATAATTTTTATTTATTTAGGCTTAATTTGGTGATTTTTGTTGGTTTATGACTCGATCCAATCCTACAAGAGAGTTGGAATTTGATCTAGAAATCAAATGCAGTTTACATAAATTGTGAAAAGAGGCACGTCAAGCAAGTTCTTCATCTCCTAGTCTTAATATAGCCCTTGGTTTAGCATCCCACGGTTCATCTAGTGATCCAGATTCAGAAATGGAAGAAGAGATAGCCGCTGGCAGAACATTAAAGGAGTTGGCTGCCCTTAATTTTATTCAGCAGCCTTTGTGTATTCAGTACCCTACTTTAGATGTTGCTTTTGAACTTAAGTCTGGTCTAATTCACTTGTTGCCTACATTTCGTGGTCGTGCAGGTGAAGATCCAAATAAACATCTAAAAGAGTTCCACGTAGTCTGTTCAAGCATGAAACCGACAGGGGTGATAAAGGAGCAGATTAAGTTGCGAGCTTTCCCTTTTTCATTGGGGGATGATGCAAAGGATTGGCTCTATTATCTACCATTGGGGATAGTCATAACATGGAACGAGATGAAAAGGATGTTTTTAGAAAGATATTTCCTAGCCTCCAGAGTTGCCACCATTAGGAAAGAGATATGTGGTATAAGGCAATATAATGGAGAGACATTGTATGAATATTGGGAGCGATTCAAGAAGCTATGTGCAAGTTGTCCTCCCCACCAGATAAGTGATCAATTGTTAATTCAGTATCTCTATGAAGGATTGCTGCCTATGGAAAGAAAAGTGATAGATGCAACAAGTGGAGGTGCGTTGGTGGATAAAACTCCCGAAGCTGCCAAACATTTAATCTCAAACATGGTTGCCAATTCCCAACAGTTTGGTACAAGACATGATGCACCACCCAAAAGGGTGAATGAGGTAAGTACATCTTTCATTGAACAACAACTATCTGATCTTGCCTCTCTTGTTAGACGATTAGCTGTAGGGAATGCACAACAGGTAAAAGCTTGTGGGATATGTTCGACAATGGGATACCAAAGAGACATGTGCCCAACACTTCAAGAGGAAGGGGCTGAGCAGGTTAATGTAGTAGGAAACTTTCCTGGACCACCAAGGCAGTATGACTCCAACACGTACAATCCAGGTTGGAGGGATCATCCAAATTTCAGTTATGGAGGAAATAGACAAGTAGGAGTTGGACAGAATTGCTTCTAGAATAGACAACAACAACAAGGTTTTCAACCAAAGCAACCTGCCTCACAGAGTTCAAACTCATCCCTGGAAGATATAGTTAAGTCTCTTGCTTTGAATACAAAACAGTTTCAACAAGATACAAGATCTAGTATTCAAAGTCTGGAGAATTAGATGGGTCAAATGGCAACTGCTATAAGTCGTTTAGAGGCTCAAGTTAGAGGAAGTTGCCTTCTCAAACAATGGTGAATCCAAAGGAAAATGTGAATGCAGTGACGTTAAGAAGTGGTAAGAAAGTGGAAGAACCAAAGCTGAACATTCCAAGTGTAGCAAAGAAAGCGAAAATTGAAGATGAAATTGAGAAAGAAGAGGTTACAACTGAATCAAAGGTAATTCCTAACCCTTCAATTCAACTTCAATCTAATACTTAACCTTTTCCTAGCAGATTCGCGAAGTCAAAGAAAGAAGAGAAGGATAAAGAAATTTTGGAGATATCTTGCAAGGTGGAAATGAATATACCTCTGTTGGATGCACTTAAGCAAGTGCCAAGGTATGCAAAATTTCTTAAGGAGCTATGCACTAATAAGCAGAAGTTGAACGGTGATGAGAAGATAATAATGGGAAAAAATGTGTCAACAGTTTTCCAAAGAAAACTTCCTCCCAAGTGCAAGGATCCAGGTATGTTTACAATTCCTTTTAATATAGGTAACACTAGAATTGAGAAAGCTATGTTAGATTTAGGAGCTTCGATTAATGTTATGCCATGATCTATTTATGCTTCATTAAATCTAGGTCCTGTGAAAGATACTCCTGTGAAAGACACTGGTGTTATTATCCAATTGGCTGATCGTACTAATGCATACCCTGAAGGGGTAGTTGAAGATGTTCTTGTGCAGGTCAATGAGTTAGTGTTTCCTATTGATTTTTACATTTTGGATATGGATGATTCTTCTTCTATTGACCCTGCACCTATCTTACTGGGAAGACCATTCCTAAATATAGCTCGGACAAAAATAGATGTTCATGATAGTACCCTCATGATGAAATTTGATGATAAAGTAATTCGTTTTAATATTTTTGATGCCATGAAATACCCAATTGATGTTTAGTCTATTTTTACTATTGATGTTGTTGATTCAGTTGATTCCATAGCACAAGAGATGATCTTTGAGCTAAATAATGTAGCTGAGTTAGAGGTAGCCCTTACCAAACATGTGGAATCAGAGGAGGAAGGAGAGATAGAGCTCAGTGAAGAATTGAGGGAGATAGTGGTAGCTTTACGTTCTTTAAAACCGATTCCAGAAAGGTATGGAGTTTCTTTTATAAAGTTGCCTGATTCTCACTAGAGATTATTGCCTTATGTTTTGTAGGCCCCTACATTGGAGTTGAAGCCATTACCGGCCCATTTGAAGTATGTGTACTTGGGAGAAAATAAGACACTGCTGGTAACTATGTCAAAGAAGTTAACACCCAATCAAGAAGAGAAACTTGATCGAATGCTGCGGGAACATAAGGAAGCGATTGGTTGGACCATAGCTGACATTAAGGGGATTAGTCCTTCTATATGCATGCATTAGATTTTGCTTGAAGAATGTGCCAAACCGACACAGGAAGCGCAACACAAATTAAATACCCCAATGATGGATGTGGTGAAAAAAAGAAATCCTAAAGCTTTTAGATGCTGGGGTAATTTATCTGATTTTAGATAGTAAGTGGGTAAGTCCAGTGCAAGTGGTCCCCAAGAAATCTGGGGTTATAGTTGTGAAAAATCAAGACAATGAGTTAGTCCCTACATGTGTTTAGACAGGCTGGCATGTGTGCATTGATTACAGGAAGTTGAACCCAACAACTTGAAAATATCATTTTCCACTTCCCTTTATTGATCAAATGCTTGAGATGTTAGCTAGTCATATTTATTACTGTTTTCTTGATGGATTTTCAGGGTATAACCAGATTGTCATCGCACCGGAGGATCAAGAGAAATGACATTCACATGTCCATTTGGTACTTTCGCCTATCATCGAATGCCATTTGGTCTCTGCAATGCTCCAGCTACATTTTAGCGATGTATGGTAAGTATCTTTTCAGAATATGTCGAGTCAATTATAGAGGTTTTTATGGATGATTTTAGTGTCTATGGTGATTTGTTTGATCAGTGCTTACATAACCTTTCATTAATTCTAGACAGATGCATGGAAACTAACCTTGTACTTAACTGGGAAAAATGTCATTTTATGGTAAAGCAAGGTATAGTTTTGGGGCATATTGTTTCATCCAAGGGAATAGAGGCTGATAAATCTAAGATAGATTTGGTTACAACTTTACCTTACCCCACCAGTGTGCAGGAAATTCGATCTTTTCTTGGCCATGTAGGTTTCTATCGGAGATTTATGAAGGACTTTTCAAAAATCGCATTGCCCCTATGTAGATTGTTACAAAAAGATGTGGCTTTTCAGTTTGATGAGCAGTGCAAGGAGGCATTTGACAAGTTGAAAACATTGTTGACGATAGCATTGGTGATACAACCACCTAATTGGGATCTACCTTTCGAAATTATGTGTGATGCGAGCAACTACACATTAGCTCTTAGGTACTTTCTCACAAAGAAGGAGGCAAAACCAAGGCCAATTAGATGGATTCTTCTACTCCAGGAATTTGATTTGGAGATTAAAGATAAAAATGGAGTAGAGAATGTTGTAGCAGACTACCTTAGCCGTTTGGTTCGTGACAAAGATGAGCTTCCTTTGCGAGAAACATTTTCGGATGAGCAATTGTTTTCCATTGAAATGGCGTCACCATGGTATGCAAATATTGTAAATTTTTTAGTTACTAACGTGTTGCCAAAGGATTTGACTAGAGCTCAAAAGGACAAGATCAAGAGTGATGCTAAGTATTATGCCTGGGACGATCCATATCTGTGGAAGCATTGTGCTGACCAAGTGCTAAGAAGGTGCTTACCTGAACATGAATTTATTCCTATTTTAACCTTCTGTCATACCTATGCATGTGGAGGACATTTTGGACCACAGAGGACAGCTCGTAAGGTATTGAAATGTGGTTTTTATTGGCCATCATTGTTCAAGGATGCCTACATGTTCTGTAAGTCATGTGATAATTGTAACGCCCACATGGAGGTACGCAATTTAATTTATGCTCTTATACTTTTAGTTGATTTTTGCTAAAGTTATTTTGAGAAAATGTGAAGGAAATGCCTTAAACTTGCATTAAGGGTAAAATGGTCTTTTCACTCAAAATTAGTTGAAATTTTGGGGAGTGAAAAGAGATAGAATTTCATGGAGAATGCAATAAAAATGAGGGCATTATCGTAAAAGAGTGAAACCCTAGCCACTCTTACCCATTTGCACGCCACTTTCACCTCCATATTCTCCCAAATTCTTTAATTCTTCTTCAAAGCAAATTCATAGGTTTTGGGTGTTTTTGAGTAGATTTTCAATCTTAAGCTTCTATAGGTAAGATCCTTCCACTAAGAAGTGAATTTTAGTTTTTAAAGTGTTGATTTTGATGGTTTATGCTCATAGGATTTAAGAGGAAAAGAGTTTGATCAAGGAAAATTCTTAAAGGGTGGAATTTGCTCATATCAAAGGTAAATAAATCCTACCCTAAGTAAGATTTAAGTTATGTTGTGTAGAGAATTTTCTTTATGCATATATATGTGTTATATGTAGAATTGTTGATGGATTTGGTGTTGAATAATAATTAGAACCTATCCATGAGAAGTTGGGTTGGTGTATGTGATACTTGATGAATGTTTGGTTGAGATTTGGAAGAGTTGAAGTGAAAATTTTGAAGTGTGTATTTTGGGCAGATTTGGAGTTAATTATGGAGGAGTTTATTCCAAATTTTTGGTGGCCTAAAATAGAGATAGAAGTGTAGCCAAATTAGTGTTAAATTGTGCACATGAATTGTTTGATGAAATGCCAAAGAGAAGTGCATGTATGAGTAGGATTGTGTGTACTTTGGGATGAGTTTGTAGATGGTAGAGAATGGCATGTTTGCATTCTATAATGCATAATTGCATTTAAACATGTAAATTTAGAAAGAATTATAAGCATGAAACCATCTACATGCATATATATTCATAAGAGCATGAAAAGCCCTAAAATATGTTAAAGAGAAAATAGAAATAAATGAGAATAATAAAGGTATTCAAATCTGAAATCTTACTTAAAGAAGTGTAAAAAGATAAAAAAAAAAGAGAAGGTTGTGGCGATGGGGAGCCCGTGAGTGACATAGTCTCACATGCACGCCGCCTTTAGTGAGCGGCCTCATAATTCAGAAAGAAGAATTGTACAGTCTGTTAGAAGTGCGTGTGGACGAGGAATGTACCCAATATTAGAGAATTCACTCACATGGCCAAGGCTCCAAATCTATGGCTTAACTGAGTCCGATCAACAAGAATAGAAAAGAAAGAAAGAATAGAAAGAAAGAAAGAATAGCAAAGAAAGAAAGAAAGAGTAGAAAAGAAAGAATAGAAAAGAAAGAAAGAAATAATAGAATAGAAAAAAAGAAAAGAAAGAACAGAAAGAAATAAAGAAAAACAAACAGAAAAACAAAATAAGAAAAATAGAAAAGAAAATGCATACTTTATGCATTTGTGCATTTGCATCATGAATATGCATAATACCATGCTCATTATCTTGAGTAGAAAAGAATTAGAAAACAGAGAGAAAAACAGAGAGCAAAATAGAGAAAGAATGAGAAAGAATAGAGAGAAGAACAGAGAAAGAATAGAGAATAATCAGGAAATGTGACGTAAGGAAAGAAAATTTAGAATTTAAGCAGTGAAGAGAGAAGGGTAGCATAGCGGGTTTACTTACTGAGCAATTAGTGCTCACTCCATTGTTTTTAATGTTTTTGCAGGTAATAGGTGAGTTGCGATTGCACGAAATGTCGTGCAATGGACAGGTTGGGCTACACTATCATGTTGCTATTTTGAGTATATTTGTAGATAAAGAAAAATCAAATATGGGCCCATACTTTATTACTCGTATATATGTCTATTT